TAATTTCTCTACTTCTTTGTTCGAATTCATTACCCCATTGAATTCCTAGTTTTCTTGGTTTTCTCAGTTAAACATCCTGAAACCATAACAATTGGTATCAGAGCATTCATTTTGGTACTCACCTTCCGTCATTTTAAACCTAACAATTGGAAATCAATTCCATCCTGGCGAAAAAATAAACTGTAGCTGCTTTGTCTGCTATGATGGAAGATCAGTTGGTTGAATTGGAGAATCAACCGGAAGAACAGACCAGAAGAAGTAAGTTAAAGGCCATGGAAACTTCACAGAAGCTTGACTCTTTAATGCTCCTTCTCTGGAAGAAACGTGATGAGGAAAGGAGCAGTTCCCATCACTCTATTCACTCATATGAAAGAATTCCTCATTTGATGCAGATCAGATTATTGCCCCCACAGAATAGATTACTACTGACAAAGATGATGATGATATTTCTGATCCACCCAAAATTTACACATCAGTAGCCCCAAACTTGTCCTATGATGATTTTCAATCTGAGGAACTCACCGATTTTCATACTTTTTGAGATATTGCAGATAATTCAGATGCTGAGATGCAATGCTCTAAGGAATTCACGCAAGTAAGAAACCAAAAGAACAAACTAAAAAGCATTGATGATACATTCACCAAAATTCAAGAAAACAAACAACTTTACTATGAGGTGGGTTATACTTCACATCCCATGGTCACACGATGTCACACCCAGAATCCTCGAGATGAAAAAGACTACTTCTTATACCCGGTAGACGTGAGGTTTCACTCACCACATAAACTGTCTGAAGCTCTCAAACTCTACAAGCCATCCCACCCTGACACCAAAATATATCAACCATATCTGAAAAAGGCGATAAAGTTCCACAACAAATATAACAAGAACATCTCAGCTACAGTTGGAATGCCTACAAGAGACTTTAATTGTTAATGTAGATTTTCATTTTGTGGATCTTCTTCTTTATCACTTGTATGCTATTTTATCTTTAAATTAATAAAATTTGGAAGTATTCCTCGACACTTCTTCCACCTCAGGTAGTTTGCTTCAGGACAAAAAAAATAGAAAGAATTCCTCATTTTAAGGAGGCCATTCTAATCGAAACTTAGGCATCTCTCCCAAGATTGAATTTCCTTCTTTTGATGGTAATAATCCTAGGAGCTGGATTCAAAAATGTGCTAAATATTTTGAGTTGTAAAAAATTGAACATCACCAGAAAGTTGATCTACCTTCTGTATATATGGTGAATCGTGCCGAATCTTGGTACATTAGTTACATATCAGTGAATCCTAGAGTGAATTGGGAACAATTTGTTATTGATGTTTGTGAAAGGTTCAATGAAGAGCTTGGTAGTACGGTTGTTGAAAAAATTAATATATTACAACAAACTACCTCTCTTGTTGATTATATAGATCAATTTGATACCCTACATAGTTTAATGCTACAAAGAAACGATAGGCTCCCTGATGAGTACTTTCTAGACAGTTTTATTGGAGGACTAAGCCCAACTATTAAGCATTTTGTGAAGGCATTTAAACTTACAAATCTTGTGAGTGCTATGGAGTATGCAAGGTTGCAAAAACAAAGTTCGAATGCCTTCAAAAGAAGAAACAAAACAGGTATTGAGAAGTTCTGGATATAAGATACATCTAAAACCTATACCTAAATATGAAGATTGCTCCCTAAACCACATGTCAATGTTCTTCCTTAGACGAATCCTAATGGCACTGGTAGAAGGATTCTACAACCTATTGATATTGGGGAGAGGAGAAGAAAGAATTAGTGTTTCTATTGTGATGATCCATATTTTCCAGGACACCAATGTAAGACTCAGTTATACAAAATTCATATAACTGCTGTGGAGGAAGAATTCAATGAAGGAAACATTGTTGAGGAATCTTCTAGTTTTGAGGGGATATAAAAAAGATTTGAGAATTAAGAAGCACAGTTACTTGAGAATTCACCTGTGATCTTCCTCAATGCCATATCTGGACACCATCAATTCCGGACTATGAATGTGATAGGAAGGGTTAAAAAATGATATACATGTGCTAATTGACTCAGGGAGCACCCACAACTTTCTGGATATCAACACTGCTAAAAGATTGGGATGTAGAATCATACAGTCTTATTATCCATTAGAAGTCTATGTAGCTAATGGAGAAAAAAGGATAACTACAAAACTCTGTAAGCTCCTAATTTAATAATAACATTTGTCCATCAACATAAAATCGGCCTTTTTCTAGTTAGGAGTATGATAGACTCAATCCGTTTTATCTATCAATAAATAATACACGCACAAATCATGTATAGATAGAGCATATGTTTTTTTCAATTCAACACTTCTTCATTTATGTCATCACATAACCAACACTACAAAGAATTACATATTGCAACAAGTATCATATAAACCACAATTACATAAGAAGTATACTCCAAAAAGATATCAATTAACATTATGGTGGCTTCTCACCCGTCTCTCATTTTGCAATATGAATGCATAAAAAAGATCTCAAATGAAAAGCAGAATTCATCTTTACGTGTAAGATTGGTCACTCAATGCGATAATGCAAGTAGCATAAGTTAAACCAACTTATTTGTTATAACTTATATGCTACTTTTAGTGCTGAAAAGGCATATTTAAGTTGTATAAAATATATTGAAAAAAAAGAAACTGCTGAAATTTCAAAGGAAAATTTCGCATATATGACTATTCAATCCTATCTTAAGCCATCATCATTTTATTTTAATATATTATATAAATTATTATTAAATGAATTATTTTATAATTCCAATCAACAATGAATCTTCTTTTCTCTCTTATGAACATTTCTAAAAGTCTTCCTTTTACTAATTTGCAAATTATAGTCCACTAACCATCTAAAACAATCTTAGAATTGAAATAACATAGTAAACACATCTCAGTAGCCATCTAAATCATTTTGAACTTAAATCAATCAATGTGTAGGTTATGTGTACAACGTTATATTGTAGTTCACTCTTCGATTTTTTGTTTTTACAAATTGACAATAAAAAAATATTTACATATTTGTTGCATTTTAAAATAGTATCTCATCGCTTATAAATATTTTACATTCCGTGTGTTTTAATTTATATTTTCATGAGTCACTAAATAGAATGCACTAAATCAGTCAATCTTTGCAATGCCTTATTCCGAACGTCATTTTATGGCAAACGTTGTTATAGACCGATAGTATCCTAGTGACTAAGGTTAGAAGGAAGGAGATTAAATTTTAAAGTAAGCGGTTGCATCAAGGCTATTGATGAAGAACAAGATTATGTCTTTATAATCTAAAACAAATAACAAATATATATATAATGTATAATTGCAATGTATTACACCACTTGACTGCCACTAAAGAAACCTATAAAATCAATAAGCAATATATAACAATGACATATTACATTTTACAAAGTTCTTAACCCCTAATAAATATGGACACTCAAAAAAAATCTTTTAAAACTAAGTTATCAACTCCTAACACATTTGAACATCAATTTTTATATGGTGATAAGTTTACAACTCATTAGAATCATGAGAAAAACTCACAAAACTCTCTTCGTTTTCATTATACTTTTATAACTAAGTTATCAACTCGGACAACTCCTAACACATATGAACATCAATTTTTCAATAGTGATAAGTTTAGAACCGATTAGAAACATGATAAAAACTCACAAAACTCTCTTTAATTTCATTTCCCTCTACTTTTATTAGAACTTCATAAAAACACATGAACCTTGTAGGATGTTTTATTTTGGACTATTTTCACTCTTAGACCAAACCAGACCAGACTTAAACAGACCAGACCAGACTTGGACAATTATAAAATACAAAGAGACCAGAAATTTACCAGACCAGACTTAAACAGACCAGAGCTAATTAGCGAGAATCCTTCTATTTGGGTTTTATTTTATTTTTTGACTTTTATTGTGTAGAGTTTCTCCTTATTCTCGGATCCTATTGTTCACTTCTTGCACAATTGAATTTCAAAATTTCTTGTAAATGCAGTACTCCATTTATGTATTTTGGTGAAATTTCTACAAATTAACTTACTTTATATATTAATATATGACATATTGTTACATCTAAGGTTGTATGTTCAATACTGTATGATTGCTGCCATATATATGATTTTCTGATTACTTGTTCCATTGATTTATATATATTCAATTTCATATTATTCTTAAACATAGCTCTAGGCTATTCAACTTCTTCGTCAACTTATGGAGAAGTATAGAGACGCTCATAAGGATCTGCATTTGGTGTTCATTGACTTAGAAAAGGCATATGATAGGGTACCTCGAGAAGTTCTTTGGTGGACCTTAACTAGGAAAGGCATATCACGCAAGTATATCAGCATCATCATGGATATGTATGAGGATTGTACTACAAGTGTTCGTACTAGTGTAGGGAGGACTGAAGAGTTCCCTATTACTATCGGAGTGCACCAAGGATCGGCCTTGAGTCCTTTCTTATTTGCCATAGTCATGGATGAACTTACGAAGTCAATTCAAGATGATATACCGTGGTGCATGATGTTTGCCGACGATATTGTATTGATTGATGAGACGCAATCAGGTCTTAAAGCAAAGTTGGAAGTATGGCGACAAACATTGGAGAATAAGGGTTTCAAACTGAGTCGGAGCAAGACAGAGTACATGGAGTGCAAGTTTGGTGGAGGTAGAAGTAGTGGTAATAGCGGAATTACTCTAGATGGTAAGGAGATACCAGTCAGCGATATGTTCCGTTACTTGGGCTCCATAATTCAGAAGGACGGTGAGTTAGAGGGAGATGTATCCCATAGAATCAGAACAGGGTGGATGAAGTGGAAGAGTGCGTCAGGATTTCTATGCGACCGAGGTATGCCGACTAGACTGAAGGGTAAATTTTATAGGACAGCAATTAGGCCTGCATTACTGTATGCGTAGAGTGTTGGGCGGTGAAACAATGTCACATTCAAAAGATGAGTGTGGCAGAGATGCGCATGCTGCGTTGGATGTGTGAGCATACTAGGAAGGACCGCGTGAGGAATGAGACAATCAGACAAAGGGTGGGAGTAGCACCTATTGAAGACAAGATGCTGGAGTCGCGCCTACGGTGGTTTGGTCATGTGCGTAGAAGACCGAGTGATGCACCTGTTAGGCGAGTTGAGATGTGTGGAGAAGAGGCAGGGAAGAGAGGGAGAGGAAGACCCAAACAGACGTGGGTTAGGGGAGTTCGAAGTGATATGCTTCTTCTGGGGTTGGATGAGGGCATGACTTTGGAGAGAACTAAGTGGAGGGCGGGTATTCATGTGAAGGAGTGATCTTGATAATCTTTTTCCCTCATCTTTTTTTCCTGGTTTTTTTATCCTTATATATATATGCATTATTTGCAGCCTTTTTATTTTATCATTTTTATATATATTCATCTTTTTTATATTATCTTTTCATAATAGCTTATCTTTTTATCTTTTTTCCTTCTTTTCCTTTTGATTGTGATATCATGTATCGATTCATGTTAGCCGACCCCAATATCTTTTGGGACTAAGGCTTGGATGTTGTTGTATAGCTCTAGGCTCTAGCCTAAAAATAGATGGAACACAATGAGCCAAGACTTTTATGGATCGATCTAGTTATGAAAATGTAAGTTTGGACTAATTATAGTGGTTGTTTTTAGATTATCGAGATCAACTTTTGTATTTTTATTCTTGTAACTGATTAAAAAATATGGCAATGTTTCACAGAGGGTATGATGTGTTGTTTTATTGTAGTTTTTAACTTGTTAATTTGGGTAAAATACACCGTACGGCCGGCCGTACGATGCTCACCGTACAGCTGGGTTTTTTTGTAATTAAACCTCCGTGATTCAGCCCTGCAACTCATCAACGAAGACGACGAAGGACGGCAGATCGAAAGTCTGGTGCAACTCACGAAGGCAGATCGTCGATAGCCAAGCTTCCAAGTGCAACTCACGAGTCACGACTGAGATTCTTAGCCGACGCAGAGACGATTCTACCCCTGTGAGCGATTCCTATTCTTCACACTCTATTTTTCGATCTCCGCTAATTACTGGCCTGCTACCTGGGCTGCCACATTTTTTATACAAAATGAAATTATGAGCATAATAGACATTTCGAATGAGTTTTATGATTGCTCATTTTGTAATTTATGTATACTCATTTGATATTTGCTTAATACTCATTTTAAATGAAATGAGTTTTATGTTAAACTCAAATGAGTACAAAGTATAACGTCCAAAAAGAATGAGCACACACAAATGAACCTTTTAGTTATTTGATACTAACTTGTAAGTTATGTATGCTCATTTTAAAATGTTGAACATTTCAAATGTATCGTACTAAATGAAAAAATAATAAACCAAAAGTGATATATAAGGTTTGAAGCAGAGATCACTGATTCTCACCGTTAGGCTCCTAATACTCAAAAGAACAAGATTGATGCTCATCAAAGTTGCATAAATGCTCATTTAGGAGAATTCGCAATTTTCACAAAAATTACAATTTTGCCACCGGCTGTACAGTGATCACAGTACAGCCGGCTGTACAGTATACGTGTCCGTTAATTTGCATTAGTTTTTTAAATTAAATATATTGTCGTAATACTTTTGAATTTTCATCGCCGTGTTTGGTGCACTTATTCGCACAGTAATATCATATTATAATATTTTTTCTGCACTCGAAATATCGTTCAAAACAACAAATGTAAACACATAATATATGTTCAACACCTATTACAGATAGAAGGGTAATTAGTCACTTGATCTAATTCAGACTACACATTAAGCACTAAAAGTAAATAGCTTGTCATCCCACTATCACTTAATCCAGACTTAATGAAAAAAAAGTAAACAACCCCTTAACATAATCCACAAGCTCAATTTTACACGTGCAAATTGTTCAATTTGAACCCCCACCCCCACCTTCCCCGTCCCTATCTGAGGGCGAGGACCGAGGAGGATGCAAATCAGGTAGTTATAGCCCATGAAAATTCTATAAGCCGGTCAATGAAAATACATTTGAGACTTCTTTTTTGTCCTGTATCTACTGCAAAATCTACTAAACTACTAATCATTACCCATTTCCTTCTCTTTTTGATCGCTTTTGCTGGACCATAGCTTGATCGTCCGGTCATGTGAAACTGTAGCAATGAATTGTCCATCTACACCAAAAAAGAAGTGCCGCTTCACGAATAAATAAATATCTCTAGTAGGCAAAGGTGAAAATACACACCCAACATTTGGTGTCAGTGAGAAATAGACGATCCTTAGGCTCCCTTGTGCTTCCCAAGATAAACCCAAATATTAGAAAACAACTCTTAAGCAATTTCATCCCTTTTTCTAGCTTTTTTCTGGGATCCAAACATATCCTTTAGGTTTTTAGGTGCATATTGACCTTAAAACATCTTTTGGGAATAAGGCTTGGATGTTGTTGTTGTATTGACCTTAAAATCTTGTAAAGGACATATAAATTGTATAAGCACTTGGTCGTTGTTCTTGTAAACAGATGGTAACCAATGATTGCTTCCTTTTTCTTCCTACCATCCCGACAGTGCCTATTAACTCAATTTAAATTACAACTTGTCAACAAGAACGACTTTGTCAAACACTTTTTTCACCTTCAATTCACTCTTTTTGTCCCCTTCCCTCTTATCCATTCACATTCTCTCGTTTTACTCTTCAACTTAATTTTTTCTGTGTCAATTCCCTTACCCCAAATCAAAAAAGTATATACAAAATTAACGCTTTGTATTGGAGAAATATGAAGAAGCCAACTTGAGGAAATGTAAGCGAACAGAAAATATAGGCGACCAACATATTTCCACCAAGCTTCCCGGCTCTACCGGCAAATTTTTTATGTCAGCTTTTTAGGTGGATTCCGCTGTTGTTTAACCTGGTATGAGACAGCACGGCAACAGCACAACACCAATCTTTTCTATTTACATCCGCTGAGATGCACAATAAAGAGCTGCTTAAATCTACCTTAGAAGATGTGCTTGTTTGCACTTCAAGGAACCTCAAGGGCTATTGACCTATTTCCACCCAAGACCAAATGCAAGGTGTTTAGTTACACATTGTGCCCATCTACTATCCTACCAAAAAGCACTAGACACTAGCTATAGAGCCCTAGACATTAAGGTAATATTGTGTCCAGGTGGTTGTTAGTTAGGGGTAGGCATGGGTTTTATCGCAAATGACTCGGTAGGTACCCTAGGATGTCAAGATGACAACACTTACATCACAATAGCTCAGTTCGTGTTTGATAGACCATTTTTCCCAGCTCATCACCCTTATCCAAAGACTAACTTATTTAAGTACCCGAGCTAGATCAGCTGATAATCTAAAAATATTAAGAGCATAAGTTTCTTTTAATTTTTTGGCCAAAATTAAATAATATGGCAAGCCTTCATTTTTAGATATTATTTCCTTTAATTTATTTGAAAAATAATTAATACTTCAAGCAGATTTAGCCAATTCAGCCACAACTTCACCCGATTCAGCCACTTCAACCTTTTTGGCCTTACTAGTAGGACTCTCTTAAAACACAAGAATATATAATAAGCTAGGAAGACTAAAAAAAATCTAACCTGCTATTACATCCAAAGAGGTAACTTTGGCTTCGTGTCCAGTTAGTGTCTTAACAGGCTTAAAGTCTCTTGATGACCACACCTGAAACCAAATACAAAATTTGAAGCGTTCAAAGAACTAGAGCATCAAAACGAAGCAAATTTACACAACTGACATACCTTAGCGGTCATATCATATGAAGCAGTCACCAAGAAGTATCCTTCTTGGGGTTCAAATTTAACTTGAGAGATGAGATTTGAGTGGGCAGGTATAGTGTAGAGAGATTTTCTCTTCCTCAAGTCCCAAATTCGGCAAGTATTGTCTTCACCACCAGTAGCTAAATGGTACCCATTCGGAGAAAAACTGATACCAAGAACCTGAAATCATCATTAAAAGAGAACATTGCTTGTCATAATACATAAGCATTATCATTTGTCTGAATGCAGTAAAACCAGAATCAAATGAAAAAAGGAAAAGAAAAAACTTGATACACCATGGGCTTGTTTGGCACTCGGGAAATACTAGGAATAACCAGGAAAAAACTTTAAGGAAATTATAACGAAAGCGACGTGGCCAGGAATTAATATATGCTAAAACTCAATGCATTAGTTTTAGATTTTTGTTGATGCTCAATTTATTTAATTATGTATACATATATAAACTAGGTCCCTTTTGGTTAGTTGCCTGAAATAATTGAATGTGCTGAATTTTATGAAAGGAAAGGTTTTTGCTAAAATTGATATCAACCAAATAAGTAAGTTAAATGCTATTTATTCTCCTTATTGTGTTGATAAGCAGAATAAGACAAATCATGTTACCAAATAGGCTCTAAGAAATCTAAATATTATTTATAAAAATAATAGACGTGGTTCATTTCCTTTACATTGTCAAAGACCGGAAGAATAAGAAAATGATTCATGTCCCCATTTAATTTCATATGCTAGCATTCTCTGTGATCCGAATATACAGAAAGTAAGACATACAGGTTTAACATGGCCTTCAAAAGCAAGAACACTTCTTCCCGACCTAAGATCCCAAACACGAGCAAGTGAGTCTAGTCCACAAGATGCAGCCAAGGAGCCATCATGGTGAAAAGACAGTCCATACACACTCCTACTGTGTCCTTCCTGAAGAAGCAACTCTTCACCGGTTTCCACATCCCATAAACGCCATGTCTTGTCAAAGCTAGTGGTGCCCAAGTATTTTCCACTTGGATGGAAGGCAATCCGTGCTAGACGATCCAAATGCCCCTCAAAAGTCCTCAAAGGAGACCCTTCTGTGTTCCACAACCTTGCTGTCCGGTCAGCAGAGGCCGTTGCTAGATGATTGCATGTTGGAGAGAATGCAACATCAGTAGCTCTCTCGTTATGTCCCTTAAGGGTAGAAACCTTCTTTACATGAGGCATGCTCCATAGCTTTGCTACTCCACTCAGAGAACTATACACACGGAAACATTACATAAAAAATATCAACGATCTGTTAGTGTTAGAGGATTTTAAAGATATGCACATTAAGAAAACTCCAACTCTAGAGAGAAGGGATACAATGTTCAATCTTGATAACATTTTTAGGTGTGTTTTAGTTGCTGGCTCCTGGATGGGTTTTCCGAATGATAAACAACGTCAACTTACAATGATAAACGATATAACCTTTCCAATCTTAAGTTTAAAAGAAAGCCGAATTCACTGGCTTGTGGCATCTATGAATATAAAGTAATAGCACTACATTGAGAATCAAGGAGAAGCTGAAGTAAATGAAACAAATGTTTCCTCCAGTCCAATACAAAAGAATTGCATCTCCTGAAAAAACTGTCCCAAAAAAATAGTGCAGTTTCAAAAGTCAACTTTGATTCTCAGGTAAAACTCCTGCAAATCCAAGCAGCAAGCAATTCTACTCAATTACTTAAAAACTTGAAAATACATTTTTAGGGGTGTATGTACATGGCCATTCATAATTTTTGTAAAATCTTGCACCTTAATTGAGTTGATTAAGTATAAAAAATGTACCATACTCACATAGTCACATAGAACTCTTTTTTGAGATGGAAGGAGTACAAGTTAGCCTATTATGTATCATGGTGTGGAAATGATAAAAACCCTGTTTAGTAACCAAATCATAGCCACATGCTCATAGAGCAGAGAATAAAGATCGTATAACCAAATAGCAACAACAGCATGGACATAATCAAATAAAAACCACACACAGATTTATAAAAAGACATAAACACATACGGATACACGTGAAAAAGAGTGCACATATATGAGAGGGTTCTAGCAAAAACCTATTAGTACTTTTAATCTCTACCTTTTATATTTCAATCAATGACTAGCACTCGTAAGGTGGCAATTTTTTGAATTATCCTAATTCCTAAACTGAAACTGGGACTTCTTGCAAATTTTCTAAAATAATTACAAAACTACCATCTTCTCAATATTACATATCTCATTTATAAAGATGTTTTCGCATTATATGCATGCCAAAACACGCTCTTACAGCTAACAGATTACCAGGTAGCAAGCATCTCACCATCATGTGATAGTGAGCAACCAGAAAGCGGACGGTCATCTCCAATCTCGCTGCAATCAAGAACTAGAGTTCCTGCCTGGTTTAGAGCCGAATCCACTTCAGCGTCCACATCTTCATCAGGGTCATCCGTTTTTCTCCTAGCACGATCAAGACGCAAAGCTGACTTCACAATAGAATACTTTGCAATCTCCAAACGAGACTCTAAAAGGGCTTTCGATCCTTCAGTATAAAACGGGTATTGAATCTCATCTTCATCTTCAGTGTGTCCAGCAGAAGCAAAAAAAGCTTCTTCATCCTCATGAGCTTTCATCAGCCTTTCCAGATGCCCTTCTGAATCAAGTCTCGCCATAAGTACCCTGAGTCTGTCCCTTCTCTCCATTTCCCTTTCCCCAAAAAAAGTTATGGGCTCACCGAGCCGGCGAAGACGAGCCCGGACAGCCATGTCGTTCGTGGGGACAGCCAGAGCAGCAGCTCTTCGCTTCAACAGAAGCTCCTGCATGGCTTTTTCTTGTCTTTCTCTAACCAGTCTGCTCTCTTCAGATATCTGGTATTCTTGAGCACGCTCAACCATTCCTGCGTCTGGGTCATCATGGTCAGAATCTGAGTCCATAGCTTGTGCATCTCCGTTCTGCGCCGATGAGGAAGGCTGAAGTGCCGGCGGTCGAACAGGGAGAGGTGCCAGAGGTGGAGCACCTGGAGCAGGTAAACCCCCTGGCGCTACAAGTGGTTGAAATGCTTGATGCGAAATTGCATCAATGGATGAAGCCATGCTTTGGTTATCAGCGACTGTAGAAGAAGGATCCATAGTTGACAAAGAATTTTGTTCATCGACAAGCATACCCTCGACAAGGAAACCAAATGCAGGTATAGTTAAATCACCACAACCTAATTTCTCAGAAAGGATCAAATCCCTGAGGAATTAACCTAACCTAACATCATAGAATTGATGTTAGAACTTTGCATTATTGAGATTAAACGTGGTCCAAAAGGTGGAATCTCCGACCCCCAGGAGTCCCCATACCCTGATCCGACAGGATTTTTGGGAGGATGTTAATCACGTTCACTCAATCGGCCCAATGATGGTAAGCCTTTTTTCCGTGCGCACCAGAGGCCCAACCTTATTTCAGGTTCTGTGACCTCCACACGGCCCAATGATTTTCGGGTTTCGAACCTTGGTCACTTGGTCCAAATTTCCCATCACTGAACCAACTGAGCTACCCGTGCGGGTTATTGAGATTAAACAAAAGTAGGGACAAGTGCTATTGCGTATATCGAGAGAATCAAACTAATCCGGAGAATCATTAATACGGAGTAGTGTTGAGTTTTTTTTGGAATTAATGCTAATTAATTAATTAATTACGAAAATAATGCTGGGTTAAAAGTATTTACGGATCTATTGTTGGGATTAAACATGGTCGGGGTAAGTCGCTCAACGGTTGGGCTATTTATAAGTCGTCATCCGGTTTGGCGACTTACCCTTAATTACGCCACAGACAGAACAGCAAAACCCCCCTTCCCAAAAGCAGCGCATTAATATACACAATTCATACTCCACAGACCATGAATTAATCCCAAAAGGAACAAGAAGATAAAAGGACCCCTTCCAACCGCCGGCACTCGAATCAGACTTAGAGCTAATCACTCTGGAAAAAGCAATATGGCTCACTGATTCTATAATGGGTCTAAATGAGCCTAACGCAGTTAGAATAGACCCCTCATCACCCCTACCTAATGCAAGAGTCTGACTGGTGAAATAAAAAAACAGAAAACAACAACGATAGTCTGATCAAAGCAATAAATAACAACAAAAATAAAATAGTGGGAATTCAGTTGCACCCTCTCGCCGTTGATAGCGGGCCTCCTCATAGCTCTCGGCGGGTCTAGTGTCCGAGACTCGCCTCTTCCTCGTTTTTTGAGTTGTCCAACGCCATAATGTCTCTGCCATCCTCCTCATACTCCTTAGCCTCCCACGTTCTTCGCCTCTTCTGCTCCCCTGAAGATCCCTCCATAGCCACTATTTCATTCTCCTTTGCTTCCTTAGGCCACCACTTACCTCAATATGTGTCCCGCTCTGCCCCTCTTGCCCAATCATCTCATTGTTGGTGCTAGTAACTCCCCCTTGCTTCTCTTGCTTACACGGTCCACTTCCGCTTGAGGAGTCTTCTGTGACTAGCCATTTGTTAGCCCTCATCGGTGGAGTTTTCCCTCCCCCACCAGCTTGAAGATTAACCCCAAACAGTTTAGCCAAAGCTTTGTTTTCACAGTCATAAGCCAAGGGACAAAACCTGTCTACGTGACCAATGATACCACAAGCAAAGCAAAAGCTAGGTAGTTTTTCATATTTGAAATCCATCCTATGGCCTGGACCCCTCCCTTTTCCGTAGCGCCGTGCCCGTTTTCAGGGCTTTCCCCGCATCCATACATACCCTAATTCTCATGTATGAGTTCCAACGATCAACAAACTGACTTTCGTCAAAACTGATAAATTTGCCAATTAAGTTAGCAACCCTCCTAGCCACCCCTAAATTCATATAATCATAAGGTATGTTGTGTACCTGTACCCAAAATTCAGCGTCATTTAGGGGAACCCGAAGAGGGATGTCCCCAGGTTTCAGCGCCCTCAATACCAGTAAATTTTGTTCATACAACCACGGTCCTCCTCCTAGCACCCGTTCCATATCAACAATATGGTAAAAATTAAACAAATACCTCTTGTCTCCGAATTTTTTGATAGATATTCCCTTCTCTGGGCGCCAGATAGAAGCCATGAGATCCCTGAACACCGGAAATTTTACCATTCTGTCCGTGAGAACAGTGCCAACAACCGGGAAGGTTGCGCTTCGAGACAAAGAATCTCCCTCGCCATCCAACTCCTCGTCCAGAACCAGTTCCTCCTCATCCCCGCCGAGCTCCAAATTGTCGTACTTGCTGACCACATCATCCATCTGTGTCGGAAGCTATCGTTGTGTACTCGCTCCTTTAAAGAATCCCTGCTGTGGAAACGATATGTTGCGCACACTCCGGCGCACCCTCGCGCGAGACAGGAGCAGTGCCTTAGAGCCGTCCTTTTCGTTTGCCTTCCTGCGGCGACGATGCACATATTAAGCAAATCCTATATGATATATATACACTTAAAAATGGAAAAATATAACATTTAAAAAAATAATACATTCTAATTTTTGAGTTTTTTAGCATTAATAAAGTTCAAAAATTTAACAAAGTTCAATTCATACCTCCAAATCTACATTACATAACAGAGTTCAAAAAAAATTATATAACAATGAATTCAACATCAACATTCAACACTTCATACATATTCACATTACACAACAAATCAATTCACAAATCAATTCCTAATTTACAAAATCCTAATTTCTATATTCTAAACCCTAAAATGAGATAAATTAGATTTATTTGTTTACCTAGAGTATTGAAGAAGATGGAAGTGAAGTAGTATTGACAAGATAGGGAGGCCTCGCCCGAGTTTCGCCGGACTTGGACCCTGTTTTCGCTGCTCGCCGCTCGTCCTCGCTGCGCTGCTTTTGGGAAGGGGGTTTTGTTGTTCTGTCTGTGGCGTAGCTTGACCCGGCATTTTAATTTAAGGGTAAGTCGCCAAACCGGATGACGACTTATAAGTCACCCAACCGTTTGGCGACTTACCCCGATCATGGTTAGTCCTAGCAATATATCGGTAAATACTTTTAACCCAACATTATTTTCGTAATTAATTAATTCATTAGCATTAATTCTAAAAAAACTCAGTATTTTTTAGGAACTCCGTAATGATTTATTTAAATACGTAATATATGTTCGTTTTATAAGATCAGAGTAATAGATAGTATAACCTATCTTGAGGAGTGAACAAATAGAATAGTGAACAAATAGTTTAAACACATTTCAAGTTTTGCTCCTTGATCTCAAACCTGACTCAACAGCTTGAGGAGTGAACAAATAGTTTAAACACATTTCAATTGTTCCAAAAGGTGGAATCTCCCACCCCAGGAATCCCCCACCCCGACCCGACAGGATGGTGGGGAGGTTAGTCACGGTGACTCAGTCAGCAGAATGACAGTAGGCCCATACACCCGTGCGCACCAGAGGCCCAGCCTTATTTCAGGTTCTGTGACCTCCACCCGGTCGCTGCGGGGATTCGAACCTTGGTCCATTGTTCCAAATCTCCCACCACTAGACCAACTGAGCTACCCGTGCGGGTAGTTTAAACACATTTCAAAGGCTCAAAGGATGGCAATGTTTAGGAGCATCCTATATTCCTACGTATGTTTGTGAATAAAAGGTAAAGCGAATTTATGTCCCTTAAATTGACTTGATTGGTTTGTGTAGCTATATATAAATTGCAGTGTAATTTTTCACTGCAATTGACGCTGTATTGATTTTTCATTTTAATACGGAGTATGTTGTTTTCTACCAAACAAATTAGAATCCATCTGTTTTTTTACTATATCAATCGATGTAGTTCGGATTTATTGTACAGTGCTTCAAATCTTGGTCTGCGTCTAAGTTTTCTCTTAGGGTATGTATGGGAGTTTGGAGGAAATGGGGAAGACTTTGGAGGTATGTTATTGGAGAAAGGTAGGAGAGGGGTGAGGAAGCCCTTCTTTGTATTTGGAGGTAAAAAAATTAGAAGAATATGGTTTTTGAAAGAATTATAATTAAAATCACTTTGAGATATGACGAATTCAAATCATTGTGCTGATATTCATTTTTAATTTAGCTTAAATTAACATCTTGTTAATTAACCTCCAAAATCCTTCAAATTGGGGGAACTTAAAAATTAAACATTTGGAGGGTTTTGAAGGGTTACAAAAACCCTCCAAAACCATCTCCTCCAATTTTTTAAACTCCCAAACATGAAAAAGAGGGTCATAAACCTCCATAAACCTTGCCCTCCCCTCCAAAACCCAACTCGCAAACACACCTTTAGGGTATGTTTGGGAGTTTGAAGGGAAGGTGAGAGAATGTTTTGAAGGTTAGTCATTGGAGTTGGAAATCCTTCTTTTTGTTTGGGATTAACAAGTTTGAAAAGGTAAAGGTTTCAGATGAATTATAATCAAAATCACTTAACATCCATGACGATTTCAAGTAATTGAGTTTATATTTATTTCTAATTGAGCTAAAGTTGTCATTTAATTAGTTATTCTTCAAAATCCCCCAATTTGGAAGAACTTGAAAATTGAACATTTGAAAGGTTTTGGAGGGTTACAAAAGTCCTCCAAAACCATCCTCTCCATATTTTTTAACTCCCAAACATACCCTTAGATAATTCTATCTATGATGTCTGAGACTCTGAGTGACGGAGATGGGAGTTAAATCCAGGCAAAAAGGGTGTTCAGATGATTCAAGCAAGCCTTAATGTTCATTAACTGAAGAACAAGATTGATCAAATCAATATAGGCAATTGTTTGGATCATACAATAAGTTTTTTTTAGTTAGTGGGTGATCTTAGAATAAATGGCACGAGAATTAAGATAGTAGGTATTGTGTGGAGGAGACATGTGAATAAAAGAGTGAAATGTGTAAAAGACGCTATAAACCATAAATTCATTACAAAAAAGGGAAAGAGAACATATTTTGGGATGAATGGAAAAGGAAAGTTTGAAAATAATATTGGGACATAGTAGAGATGGACTGAGCCCAAGCGGCCTAACCCGGTACTGTTGAGACCCAGCTCAGCCCGGGACCTATGGTTATAAGGGGTGGGCTTTGGGCTCGATTTTTTGGGCCCGGCCAATTGCACTTTTAAAAAAAAAATAATAAAATGGGTGATACTGACCCGTGTCCGGTACTATTTGGGCCCGGACCGGAACCGGTAACGAAGCATACTGGACCGGTATCGGGCTCCAATTTTCTAGGAATGATAGATACCACCTGAGCCCGAGCTCAGGCCAGGCTCAGGTCCATTCCTAGGACAGAGGAAGTAATTATTACAAGGGTGATCTAAACTTGACTTGAGTCGATGGAAAACTTCAGGCCTAAGCAAAAGAATTATAATATAATAGCAACATAATTATAATAGTTCCTATTTTTACATCGATGCTTTTTTTAAAACCTACTATTTGGACCTCAACTCAGGCCGTGTACTTCACGTCGTAGTTCACAACTTTACACATAACACTGGTAGTTCTCATTAGATGGCTCATTGGCTATTAGGACTTAGGAGTTAGGACTAGTCTGGGAAGATGTCATTTGGGAATGAACTACAAGAACGCTTTTAGAGAGCCGAATGCATATGAAGAAGATATACCCTATTTTGGAAACCACTTCAGATTTGGGTCCACATAGAACTGCCAAGAAAGGTTGTGAACTATGAAGTAGAGCACGCAAGTAACTCCAACTATAGACTCCGCTATGGAGTCTAATGACTAATATGGAGCCATATATGTGTGTGGGGGGGGGGGGGGCGGGGGGGGGGGGGGGGGGCTTTAAGGAGTCATATATGACTCACTGTGGAGTCATAGTCTCATAGATACGTGGTCTCGTCCTGTGGAGGAGCCGGGGAGGGGCATGAGGGGGCAAGCGCCGCCCCCGCTTCGATCAAAGAAAATTAGTACTACTACTTACAATATACTTAATGCATCCCATCTTCTTTTCAAAAATCAATAGCAATTAAGATTAATTTTAGATTAAGTGTTAAAATAAAAGGCAAAGTCTTTCAGAAAATATGTGTGTCTCTAAGAATACAAGTATTGACTGCATCATACCACACTCATTTGAATGCAAGTGAGCATTGGTTTAGACCTTTAATGACACATGAGTTAGCTTTTCGTGGTTATATTGACCAAGAAAATATTGAGTTTGACGAATACGTTGTCACATTTCTTGCAACGAAAAGATCAAAACATTCTTGAGATTGTGTTGGATTCCCTCCTTAGTGGAGAAATTCATGAGAATTTTATAATTTACAGAGATGTCTAAGATTCTCTATATGTGTGTGGAGAGGTATTGAATGTTCTAGAATAATAATGTGGAGTTTTCTAGAAAAGTGTTGAACTCACTAAAATCGCATGAAAGTGTGTGAAAGTAGAGGTGGACTCGGGCCGGGTGGCCCAATCCGGAACCGTCCCGGGATCGGTACTGTTCCGGCCCGGCCAGGGACCGGTCCGGGTAGGCCCGGCTCGGTGGTTTTACGGTGCGGGCTCGAGTCCGCCAAATGATGAACCGGCCCGGCCAAGCCGGGCTCGGTTCCGGGCCTTTCATTATTTTTTGTTTTGTTTTTTCAATTTTTTTATTTTTCAGGGTTGGGCTGGGTGTTTTGGACCATTTGGGGTAGTGAGGGGGGTATTAGGGGATTAATTAATTAGAAAAAAAAATAGGAAGTGGCTCGAGGCCCGGCCCGGTTCGGCCCAGACCGGGACCGGACCCGATAGCTACCCGGGCCAGTCCCGAGCCCAACTATTTTGAACCGGTGGCTCGCCCGGGCCTAGGCACGACCCGGCCTGGCCCGGAGTCCACCCATATGTGAAAGCCTTTAGAACATTTTGAAGAATTGTGAAATTCTCTAAAACCCTAAAAAAGATTAGAGAAGCTTGTTGATACTTTTTGGAAGAATCTAGATGTGTAATGGTGTATAAAAAATTCTAGAGAAGCTTTAATGAGATTACTATAGAGAACTTTTATGTTTCTATGAGAGCTCTTGAGTGATTTAAAGTGAGTCTCCTTGAGAGAGGAAAGTGAGAGTCTTCTTGTGAAAAAAGAAGACTCAAAGATGTCACTTGATGAATTATATTAGGCTTGGACTCGGGTCGGGCCACCCGGCCCGTGGACCGGCCCGACCCACTACTGTACGGGACCGACCCGGTTCTCGGGTCCGGGTCCAGGTCGGGCCTAGGCCCGGGGGGTAGGGCGGGTCCGGGCTCGGGTCTCAATTTTGGTGAACCGGCCCGGCCGGGTCAGACCCGGGCTCGGGCCAAATTGAATTTTTTTTTATTTTTTTTTTCATTTTTGGGGTTCCACCCGGGTTGGGCTTGATGGGTAGGAATGTAGGATGGGTTTGGGGGTGTTTGGGAGGGTGGGGGTGAGGGGGGGTTAGGAAAGCAAAAAAAAAAAAAATCCAAACCGGAGGCCCGGACCGGCCCGGACCCGGACCGGACCCGGTGGGTACCCGGGCCGGTCCCGGGTCCACCATTCTTGAACCACCGGCCCGCCCGGGCCTAGGCCCGACCCAGACCCAGCCCGGACCCGAGTCCAACCCTAAATTATATGTGATCAAGTTGACAAGTTAGCCAGTTAGGTAGAGTGAAATATTGTCAGATACAAAGAGTGAATGCAAGTAAAAGAAAGTGATATTTTCGGATGGGGTCTTTGTATTATGAATGTATGGATAAGTATACAAGACTACAAGAGTATGGGCTTATCTGCTTATGAATTATGATCTTGGAAAAGACCGATAGTCATGTTTTTCCAACATGAAATTATTGTACAACATTTTGAATAAATTAAAACTCGTATGATTGAGCTACCCAGATTATAGATATGAGTCGAGCAATATGTAATGAACTAATTTGTGCTAATGTATTACGCTTTTATTGTTTTTAATCTTTTTATTATATTTTGAGCAATTACACAATAATTCTTAGCCTTCTGTACACCCCCCTCAAAAAATCGCTTGCTCTGCCACTGATCTCATCATAGATTCAGTCATTCAAATGTAGTTTGTCCCTCAAATACGTAGTAAATAATAATACACCTAAACTGTCATACAAGTTAAACTTGAAGATTGGCCGTGTAAACCATTAACCATACAATACCACAATAAATATCACGTATGTGTGTACTGTTTCACATTGAATGCCGCTGCAAATTGCTGATTCAATGGATGATCCCTTCATACTTTGGCTGAGCTTCATTTTTGGCAGCGGGGTTTGGCCATTCGCAGGACGAACATTTTTGCAAGCAAATACATGGCACAGTTCTATTATGATTGGAGTAGCTTCTTGTAATCCTGGAATGTTCCATCGAAGGGTGTCACCCTGCCATCTGAAACGGCCCACAGCTGCTCTACACTTCCCGATATTAGATGTTCATCGTGACTTACCTGCACACATGAACAGATCACAAAATTACAAAGGCCAGCCAATTTCTTCATACCTCAGCCACTTAAGGAAAGTATGGGGTTATAAGGTCATTATGGTCAATATACCATCAGAACACCTCCTTGGAACAAAACGAGTCCTTGTATTAGTGCCTCAACAGCATCCAGATCCTGCAAACATTGTATTGTTATGCAAGGCGTAAATTGTATGTAAAAATACGAAAAGGAAACTCCTGCTTTAAAGATAAATCGAGCTCCACAATGGTTGTTGTCCAAATTTGGCCACACAATGATTGTCTCCCAGGATAGAAGGGTTTTTCATTCCCGAAGGACTCCGGCGAGCCAAATGATCATAATGATGCATGAACAGAAGCAAAGGAAGAGAGAACGGGAGAAGTGGACGTTGGTGAATTTCGGATGCAAAAAGTGAAGGCAGAGGCTTGGAAATGTAATGCTCTTTCAAGAGACTAATCCAAAATCACCTCTTTAAAGAAAGGTGGTAACCTTTCTTTCAAAAGTTTTATCTGAATTTCAAACAAAAAAATGTCTATCTTCAGCTCCAAAAAGACCAATATATTAAGTTATTAACGACTTTTGGGCCAACATGTATGGCCCAAAAGGCCCATCAAGAATGTCTTGTCATTCATCTCAATGATGTCAATGCATTACAAAAATGAATATAAAGAATTCAAATGAAAGAGGTTTTTTGTTAAGTATTACTACGTACTAATTAATAATACCCCCATTTGGCAAAAAAATATTTTCTAGGTTTAAGACATAAGTGCCACCAATGCAGTTAACAACTGTGAATTGACCAGCAACAACTGACCATTAACTGAGCTGGTGACATTTATGTCGTAAAAATAAAATAAAAATGTGTTCTTGTTTAATGGTACTCGATTAGTATTACAGGAATTTTTCCAAAATAAAATCCTTTTTTAAGAAAAATGATTAGTAAACGCCCGTCTCACAACTCATGAGATGAAGCAGTGTCGCCTAGTGCACATGAAGAGAACAAACCCACCAGACTTCCAACCACAACTTTAAAAACAAATACAGCAAGAATACAAGTCATAAGTACCAAGTGATTTGACGGCTCATCAAGAAGTAAAATGTGAGGCTTCTTGAAAGTGATTTTTGAAAATGCAACTCTGCTTTTCTGCCCCCCTGAAACCATTTAAAGCAACAATTCAGCACAAAATGTAATTAAAAAAAAGTATTGCTGCAGTCATGCTTAGCGCTTGGGCTGTGAGAGATACCCCGAGGCACAATATATACATATTTACATCTTCATTGCCGAAATAGCCAGAAAAGGAGCATACCAGATAATGTATACATTGGTTGAAGGGCAAGATTTCCAGTGATACCAAAGGAACCTAGGTGAGAACGAAGTTTCTGTTCAGGTACACCCTGCAAGAAGCAAAAAGACAGATAAGCTACGCATTAATAGATCCATTGGTAAGCTATATGTCCTCAAGTTATGAACTAAGATAATTATAAGATAAAAGATGACCCATAGTTACATTACCCGTCAAATATCTATGTGACTCCACATCACCCAGTTATGAAGAAAATATAGACAAATGAAAGAATCACTAGAGCTAAGAACTCTTTTAGTACACCAACATAAGATTTTATGATTGATCCTTTATAATCTACACTAGAACCAAAACCATCCTTCTACCTTTGTATCAAGGCTTGAGATTTCCATACAACATAGAAAACCAGGATTAACAATTCAATTATAGTATGATGTTTGTTAGATGAATATGTGTAGTTGAGGGGCCCCAAAAGGGCTTTCACACAAGATGATGAGTATGTGTAGCCGTGTAGGCAACTATGTAGATATGTGTGTGTCTATCTACACACACATTCATATACAATGAGAGAAGTGTATAGACTATCACAGACTTACAGGGAAGCAGCGCATCATATAAAGCAAGGGATTTGAAGTCAGGTCTAATCCATCAACGTGGTGCTGGCTAAACACAGCGATCCGTACCTATAAGAGTAGATGTATGAAGTGCAAACCAATTAAATCAATGATACATTATTTACATCAAGGGTGGGGTTTTCAAAGTTTATCCACTTTTAGCCTTGTGACTATTGTGGCAATAACACTTTTACTACTTGTCTTTGAACTTTTCAACTTTTAGTCTTCTCACCATTGTGAGAGTGACACTTGTGGTCCTCCAACTATTGTGGCAAAATGTATAGACGAATATCAAAAGTGTCAATACTACAATAGTGACATACTAGAAGTGGAGCACCGAAAGTGTTCTCTGCCACAATAGTCAAAGTGAAGAAAGTTCAAGAAGGATGCCAAAAGTGCCATTGCCACAGTAGTCAGGTCTAGAAGTAGAAAAGGCTCTTCTAGCCTCATGTTTGATACAATTAACACTTAGCATGTTAATCATTTCACAGTGAAACATCTCGAAAACACTAGCAATAATTAAATTCTGGTAAGAAAAGCTAGCAATAGACAGTTTTAAAATTACTAAATGAATAAAGTGTGGTTGAGTCAAAGCAAGACTGAGTATATGGAGTGCAAGTTTGGTGGAGGTAGAAGCATGGTAACAATGGAATTACCCTAGATGGTAAGAAGATACCGGTTAGGGATATGTTCTATTACTTGAGCTCCATAATTCAGAAGGACGGTGAGATATGTGATCGAAGTCTACCGACTAGACTGAAGGGTAAATTTTATCGGACAACAATTACGCCCGCATTACTATAAGGTGTATAGTATTGGGCAGTGAAACAATGTCACATTCAAAAGATGAGTGCAGCAGATATGTGCACGTTGTGTTGGATATGTGGACAGACTAGAAAAGACCGCTTGAGGAATGAGAAAATCAGACACAAGGTGGGAGTAACACTTGTTGAAGATAAGATGTGGGAGTCTTGATTACGGTGGTTTGGTCATGTACGTAGAAGACTGAGTGATGCACCTGTTAGACGAGTTGAGAGGTGTGGGGAAGTGGCGGGGAAGAGAGGGAGAAGAAGACCCAAACAAGTGTGGATTAAAGGAGTCATGAGTGATATGCTTCTTCTTGGGTTGGATGAGAATATGGCTCTGGAGAGAGCAAAAAGGAGGGTGAATATTCGTGTGGAAGATTAATCTCTAGTCATCTCTTTATCTTTTTATCTTCTTCTTTCTTATGTCTTTATCCTTTTATCCTTTTAATTATATATAATACTACGAATATATATATTCTTTTTATCTTTTTTATCTTATCATGTTTATCTTTATCTTATATTTATCATTATCTCATCTTTTTTAACTTTTTTATCTTACCGTATCTTTTTATCTTTCTTATCGTTCTTTTCTTTTTGCCTCCGATATTAATATATCATGTAGCGATTCATATTAGTCAACCCCAAAATCTTTTGGGACCAAGGCTCGGATGTTGTTTTTGTAATAAAGTATGATATACACAGGCAAGAAACCGCAGGTGGCAATTTTAATAAGAGAATTACAAGGTACCTTAGCAGAACGGAACACTGTTCCTGAGGTTGGTTGAAGATCACCAGAAATTAGTTTCAATATGGTTGACTTTCCAATTCCGTTTGGACCAACCACTGTAGAGAAGTATATAAAGAATTTTAACATATAAAAACTAGAAATATTTCAAAGATGAACATTTACTCTTACAAGAGTAAGAAAATTGGGCAACATATATTTGAGCAATCATTTAAATGAACTTACTTGCAACGCGGCTGTCCAGATCAATCCCAAAATTTAAATTCTTGAACAATATTGGCCCCCCAGGATATCCAAAAGATGCATCACTGCAACGATTATAAACGTTATCAAGCCAGATGCCCAAATGAACAACCAAGCCTCTGATTGATCAAATCATAACTATACTAGCATAGAGATTGAAAGAAAAAAACAATCCAATCATTAGAATATATGTGGGAGACTGGGAGCAATACATACAGGCTGGACTATACAGGTGAGGCCAAGGCGCAGGCCTGGACAAGTAGGTTTGGTGAAGTTGTGCGGGTAGAATGGCTTTTGCAAAGACAAACTCAGACCACAGGAACACTAGAATGCTCTTTATTATTTAGAGGGGTTTCAAGATCGAAAAAATGGAGGGAGAGTATATATGGATGAAAATTGAAGGTGAAAACTTGGGTAATTACTAATTAGCCAGTATCCAAAATTGCAGATGGAACACTGTTACTGGGCAGTAGCTACTAGCTAATTGATAACACCTAGATAGATGATGTGGTTACTTCAGTATGAAGAGAGCAATAAATTCAAATAGCATGGGGTTTGGACAAAGCATTATTTACATGGGGGCTGGAACCGAAAAAGTTTCAAAAGGTCAGGAGTGCTCTTGCGCGTGGCACTAAGGATAGAAGAAAAATACAAGCCTGGGTTATTCTGTGTTACAAGCCTGGGTTTGAGATCGAGGCAAGGGACCATGTAAAAAAGAAAGCTAGCTGCAGTTCCTTTCTGAAGAACTTCAAGGTTGCATACTTGCACGCAAAAAGTAATGGAGAATCGCATGAAATTGCAAGGGAATGATCGTAGTGTTAATACTAGATGCAGTTCTGTACTCCTGAAACTCCCTGGGCTAATTAATTGTACCATTTTCTATTTTTCTGACCCTCATTTATTTATGTTAATCCTCTCTTAAATAGAGAAGCAATCGCATTAGAAAATCCTAAATTATAGGAATTACAAGCAAATATGCTAACATGACTGTGTAACAATAAACAAAAAAACATCACCACACCCTAACAGACACGCAAATCAAAATCGAGAGTAATGAAAACTTCAACTGCACTCCACTGATATGTGGCTCCCAATCTCAGCATCTTGACTTGTAGCTTTGAAGAGTCTGCCTAATCAACATAGAACTCTAACACCATAAGAAGTGCTGACTGACGTTGAGGTAATACCAACATGCTAGACTATACACTATAAGCACTGGGCCAAAGAGAGATTGGTCACGCAAGTTACCAGGGCCGTCTTAGATAGGTGGGTGTACTGGGTGATATGAGTGCCTGCACAGGGCTCCAATTTGTTTGGGAACTACACAAATGCAGGTCCAATATATTTTTTAGTAAGTTCATTACTTCATTTTATACTAGGCCTATGTACTTTGCATTAAGCTCACTCTTAATGGATATTGTGTGTGTTTGGTAGCATAAGTCCCTACCTTCTAGCTTTTATACTACTTAAAGAGTGTCTAAAAGCTTGTAGTAGTATATTTGACATTTGCTAGAAGGTAAAAAATTGTTGAGAAGCTACACTTGGTAGGGACTTTTTAGATTATTTTTACATTTAAAATCCTTTTTGAGAAGCTACACTTGGTAGCTTTTGAGAGAAAGTGTGTATACGTTAGCATTAATTAGACACAGCATGTTGTTATACACTTATACCAAACAGAACTAAATCAATCAGTTAGCATGTATCAAACAGCTACAACCTTTTTCTATCAATATCTCACAAAAAGCTAACTGTTACTAAAAAGTTCACAAAAGTACCTCTTCACTAGCCGTTCCAAACATACCCATCACCTTCCATAACTTTAGATGATTTTACATGTAGGAAAGATTAAAGATGCCAACTGTTTGGATAGCTCAATTACTTGTAGTGAAGTAAATCTAATTAATGAAAGACATTATACATGTAATAATTTATTCATTAAATTGGATTTATCACACTTTGCTTGCATTGTCATATTTGAAGAACAGATCAGTGTCCGGTGTCCACTAAACCATTCCTTGAAATTTATGAAGGATTGGAACAGATTCAGGTAGAACCGTAGGGTCCACTCCCCCCCCCCCCCCCCCCCCCCAATCATAGGAACAGGTTTCTTGGTGGAGTTTCCAGAAACAGTGTCAACTCAATGTTTAGGGAAACGGTTCGAGGAAAAACTGCAAGAAGTCGGCTAGAGCCGCATAACGGAGAGGCAGAAGGTGGTGAAGAATAGCCTCAACACAGAAAGGGTGTCGTATTTCGTATAAAGTGTATAAGCAAGAAAGAAGTAGTTTCCTATGCAACTAAGTAGTGGTTTCCCTTCATGCAGTAGAAGGTAGTTTCTTATTCTTTTATTGGAGTTCGCATTCCCTTTTGAACAAGAATTCACATTATTCTCCATTCTCGAGTTAATTCTCGAGTCTTAGATTAGGAGAGCTAGTGTATCAGTTATACATTGGACTGAGATATTTTAAACACACACTGTAGTTCTACACTTCTACAAAGGAGACACTCAAGTACAAGAAATAACAAAATAGATCCAAAACTGTGTGTTGTGCTGTTACCTGAAACTTATAATTGGAGCCCCTGGCCGGTCATCAGGAGAAGGAAATTCAAACTTGTAGCTGCGAATAGAAAATGTACGAAACCATTATTTGTACTTCACTGAAAAAGGTTAGAACTGCAGAGGACTAAATGGATGCTTTTTTAGGACAAAATGCATACTCAGGGTCATTGAAAACTTCATCTACATGACCCATCCTATCAAGCGCCTGTCAAAAACAAATAATGTAACCAACAACTTTCAACTGATAATAGAAGATCAGTCACTAGCAACCATAACTAGATGCATATTAGTTATTTAGAATACATGCTATTAAAATAAAAGATCATCAAGGAAATCAGCACAGGTTATAGTTATTTGGCATTAATATTGTACTGTCACCTATGAAGTCATCATACTATGCTTTCAATTATACCCTTCTATCATTTCAAAATGGGGAAATTACCCATTGAAGTTAGGTCATAATTTCAAGTTCAAACTTTTGTTTTTAAAAGTCGATCAACTACCACTTGAATTTTGACTTTTTCACTGTTTAACTTTTAAGAGCGAATATATTAGATAGAATTCATTATATTTGACACTCACATGAAGTTAAATTAGATAAATATTGAAGGCATACCAATTCAAACCTATTAAAGGCATGGGATAATGGCATTTTAAGTATACCATCCACTGCAAGAAAAATAATTTTCACAAGATTTTGTAGTTTCCACAAACATTTGTGCTCTAATACAAGGTGAGTAGGTGACTATGTCGTAAACAGCAATTTCAAGTAAACAATCTGAAAAATAAGAAGCTAATATTTTTTGAAGAGCTGAAAGATACCTTGATTCTTGATTGAACCAGGGATGCACGCTTCGCATTGTAGCGGAACTTATCAATGAATGTCTGTGATAAGTTGAGAAAAATAAGATTCAAGTTAATAACAATGAAGTAGATAATAGCCGTACAACGCACTTTGTTTGTGTGTTCGTTTGTGTTTGTACATCTCGCTCCTGTGGCATTTGAGTAACGGGGCGGGTTTGGCAATACTATTACACATGTACTGATGTACATATAGAGGAAATGGAATTCTACACATTTTAACAAAAAATATAACTAGTGTCTGACCACAAGTATACCTGCATGTGGGCCCTGGAACGTTCATTTGCCTCAAATGCTTTATGTTGGTTCTTAAGCTGTTCTTCTCTAGTTCTCTCGAATGTATCATAGTTTCCTTTATAGGTAATGAGTTTCTTATTTTGAAGATGAATAATGTCTGTGACAACCTGAAGCAGACAATGCCGATTATATGTATGTTTCAAGGAGACACCCGGGAAAAAACAAGTCAGCTGAAATATATTTACATATCAAAGTATCAAACAAAAAACATGCTGACACTAAGCATGTGTAGCATAGGAGAAAAAGGCATACAGTGTTCAAAAATTCTCTAGCATGAGAAACTACTATAAATGTCTTTGGCCACTTCACCAGGTAAGTCTCAAGCCACAGGACAGCATGAAGATCAAGATGATTCTGCCATGATGAAAGTGAAAGCTTGTAAAGTTTGTATATGATATTTTAGTGCACATACTACATAATAGTTTTCAACTGAATACGACAAACCGTTGGTTCATCGAGCAGTAGTAAGTCAGGTTCAATAAACAATGCTCGTGCAAGTGCTATTCTCATCCTCCATCCTCCAGAAAACGTTTTCGTCGCCCTCTTTTGCATTTCTGTGGAAAAACTAAGGCCCTGAAAATGTAATGATCTTATTATCACGAACCAGACCTGACTACACCAAGTACATAGAAAAATTATAGTTCAACTTTCCCCATGAAACACAACATGTACAGATACATGCAATTCTTTATCATTCAGATGTATGATTTATCAAACCCACTGTACTGGTAAACCGATTAAAACTGGTATCCCTTTCTTTATAGTGGTTCTGTTTCTTAGAAAGGACAAGCCCTTATGCACTTGAAGATCTAAAAAAGAATGCACAAATAGCATGATAAGCATGAAAGATTCATACACAATAAATTCAGATAACACATTCATCTGGTAATAAAAACTGACCGCAAGGATGGATGCTGCACGTGACTCAGCAGAGTAAGCATCAATCAGCTCAAGCCTTTTGTATATCTCCTCAAGTCTTTGTGCAATAGCATTTTTTTCTGATTCCCCATTGCTCTTTCCAACTTCACCTTCTAGATCGATGTCTCTCTAGAAACCAGTGATGCATTTCAAATGTTGAAATGGGTGACCCAGGCAATGAAGAAAAGAGCATGATAGTATAAATAAAAGAGGAACACTATAATGTGTGATAAAATGCGCAATTAGGAAAATTATATTTTCCACCTGCAACTCAAGTAGCCGACTTTCTTCTTCCAATAGTCGGGTTCTTTCAGCATCACAATTAAGGACGCATTGTAAAACTGAAGTATCATCACCAGCAACCTCCTGTTCCACGTGTAATATCTGACAGTTCCTAGGAATACCATCTATGGCATGCATAGCCATGTACCTAAGGAATGTTGTTTTTCCAGTTCCATTGCGTCCAACTAGCCCTACATGTTTAGAGCAAAATCTGAAGTGACGTACATATCACATGATTGCAGAAGTGCAACAGGTGAAAGAAAACCATTTTGATTGCAAAAAGAAACAACATTTCATCTCAATTGGCAAAGAGACCATGCAAATGATGAAATGAGAAACCACACTATATCTAGCATAGCCCATTTAGAGACCAAACTGATCTTACTTTTTGAAGCACGTTTCATCTCAATGCAAAGGGATTAAATGATTTATATCAATTTATACAGATTTTCCTGGCGATTCGAGCCTTCTTTTCGTCCAAACAAAGGAAAGGGGTTGGTTTTCCTTCACAACAAGGTAGTCGTACGGAACCTGTGGCTAGATTGAATCCTTCTTTTATTTCGGTATGCAGCTCCGTGAGCATGAAGGGACAGAACCTAGTAGGATCTAAATAATTGTTTAGGATGTGTGCGCAACTGCGCATCGCTCATCATCATAGGAAGGAGGTAAGGTGTTGTAAGTACTTCATGCACTTCGCCCATGGCGGACACGAGATTTTTCATACTATTACGAACATAGTAACTTAGTAAGTTGATAAATATTAACAATAGTGTTTAAAAAACAAATATTCACTATAATTATATATAGTGAAGGCAGTACCAATCTGGTTTGCCAACACAATGTGCATCATTAAGGAGGGAGAGACTTGCATGGTGAACCTGTCCCGAGAAGAGAGGATTCAGTACAAGCAAATTTCGGTCACCTTCTTGGGTGGCTCCCATCCACATATCGCCTCAATCTTCACCTTGTCCATCCGGATCTTGCCCCCTCCAACAATGTGCCCAAGGAATGTTACCTCTTGTTGAGCAAAGGCACATTTCTCCTTCTTCATTCTTCACGTAGAGCTCGTTCTCCCTTAGCTTCTGGAACACTTGTTGTAGATGATTGATGGGCTCCTCTAAAGTCTTACTAAAGATGACTATGTCATCTAAGTAAACCACCACGAATTTGTCCGAGAACGGCTCGAATACTCGGTTCATGAGGGTGCAAAACGTCGTAGGAGCGTTTGTAAGTCCGAATGGCTTTACTAAATATTGGAAGGAACCATACCTTGTCACACATGTGGTATTCGGCTCATCTCTTTCGACAATCCTTACCTAATAGTAACCTCATCTCAAGTCCAACTTTGAAAACCACTTTGCTCCTCCAAGTTGGTCGAACAAGTCCGCAATGAGTAGAATCGAATACTTGTTCTTCACGGTGATTTTGTTTAGCGCCCTATAGTCGATGCACATGCAAAGTGATCCATCATGTTTCTTCTGAAACAACACAGGTGCTCCATATGGCACCTTCAATGGTTGGATGTAGCCCGCATCCAACAAGTCTTTCAATTGCCTTTTCATCTCTTCTAGCTCGGGCGGTGTCATTCTATATGGCACGGTCGCAGGTGGGGTAGACCCAGGGACCAACTCGATCTTATGGTCTACGTCTCGCTTAGGCGGAAGTCTCTTCGGCAACTCGGACGGCATCACGTCCTTGAACTCAACTAACACCTTGGCCACTCCTTCCGGCATATCACTTGTTGGCGCCTGTTGCTCCTTCAAGATGGCTAAGTATGTAGGTTTCCGCTTCCGTATGCCTCTAGCAAGTTGCATGGCCGAAATTTGCTTGGACTGAATCCTCTCTTCCCCCCGGGATAGCTTCACCATGTGCGTGATGGCCAACAGTACACTTAGTCACATCACATGACATGTTGTTATATATAAAAATTGATAGGTATAACAATCAATAACGGATGGATCGATTCATGTTAGTTGACCCCAAAATCTTTTGGGAATAAGGCTTGGATGTTGTTGTTGTGTAACAACCAATGTTAGCACAAAAAAACAAACTCATAATAAGATACAAAGGCTAAACTGAATAACTTGACTGGTTGAAATTGAAGAGAATAATTGTTAGGATGGTCTAAACTTTTTTACTCAGTTTGCCCTGACTTTATTTTGTTGACAATTTTGTGGTTTGTTTCTTTAACAACATCAACAACAACCAAGTATTATTATAAAAGAGTTTGGGATCGGCTAACATGAATCAACATGATATCGGAGAAAAAAACATTAGATAGAGAAAGAGGGAGAGAAACAATATAAGATCAACCCTCCACATGTATGTTCTCCCACCTCTTCACCGTCTCTGAAGTCAAACTCTCATCTAACCAAAGTCGTATCATATCATTTTGTACCACTCTAATGCATGTATGTCTAGGTTGTTCCTTCTCCTCTCTCCCTCCTCTCAATCTGTCTAAGAAGTGCATCACACCGTCTTCTACACACATGACCAAGCCACCACAACAGAGACTCTTGCGTCTTATATTCACTAGGTGTTGCTCTACTTTTTGCCAGTTTATTTATCAGGAGCGCATAAAAAATCTGAACCAACTATGTAAATATGTTATTTGTTTATACAATTATACCTTTTTCTTAAAAATATGCTTTGGGGAGGTAGCAGCCCACTTGTCCCAAATTTATAAATACTTGGTCCAGCTTTGGGTGAGATAAACATTTGGTCCAGCTTTGTATCTATTTAAAAAGAAAATATCGAACTCACCGTAGTGTCTTCCAAATGAAAGTGTCACAGTTCCATCAGAGATAAGATCACGGCCACCAACCGATATGTTGAAATTCTCCATATGTATATCCTTGATTGCTGCCCCATCCACGACATCATGGTTTACACAAATAGCAGGCATCCCGGCTCTGACAGCCTCCATCTCTCTTAAATGATCTTCATATTGTGCCTGCAAAATCATAAAAATGGTCCACCACATAGAAAGAGGCCATAGTATGAGGCTAAGACAGAGATATGGAAAAAATGATTGCAAAAAATATGGATAGCAACAGTTTTCAAAATAATTGACATGCCTTCTCTTCAAGTATTGAGTAAATGAACGATTAAAACTGGCAAGTAATATAACAAAGTATATTCACCACAGATAATCGTCAGCATTACCAAATGATTAAAACACTATTAATATTTCAAAGAGTATCAGCTTCCCTTTATATAAAGCATATATCCATAAAAAAATTACCTCTCTTTGTCGCTCCTCTTTTCTCTTCCTCCTCTCAATCTTAATTTTGTCGCGCTCAGTCAGAAGAGGGCCATCAGTTGGTTCGGGCTTCTTTTTAGGAGCTTCCTCTTCATCCATCCCATCAAACATTCTCAGTGGTGCTTTCAAGCTTCTTACAGAAGGTTTTGGTTTCACCAACCCATGCTTCTCGAGTTTCTCAGACAATTTGCTACATACCTGGCATACAATATCTAATTAATGTAACATAACAAAAACATGAGTATTTTTAATACTTCTGAGCTGCTACACTTTGTAGTACCTCTTCCTCTAAACTACCAGGATGATAAACGTTTTGTATGCCAAATCATTTTAAAATATAAATTAAACGTTTTCACTTTCCATTCCTCCATTATTCATACTTATACTTTCTTATTATAAGTAAATACAGGTAACACTAGTTTGCTCCTAGTAACCAGGCATGAGAACTAAATGTAGTATTGTAGTAGCCCTTTTTCCTATTAAGTACTAAAAGATTGTAAATTTAAATAATAGTTAGGATACTCTACACATAAGAGAGTACATAATTAGATTAATTTCTCAAACAACTCATGCCACAAAGCTCATCTGATTGAGAAATGACATTCCAAATTTCTATTGATTCATTTTTATGCCTCTATATATATATATATATATATATATATATATATATATATATATATATATATATATATATATATATATTATATGTCATTTTGTCAAGTACAACTGCAGTTATTTCACAAGGAAAAACACAATGGACATAGTAAAATATTTTTGTAGAAATCAATCATCATAAACACAGCCCAAAATATAAAGCACTTTCATTCACGCAAAACCTAATAGTTGAACAAAGATAATAAATTTGACAGCTGATCTCTAAGGTGTACCCTGCGACATTCAGAGTAGTCATAGACGCAATCTGATTCGACGAGGAGGTCGCCTATGGCTTCGAAAGCACCGTCTCCATCGACGCCGAAGTCGAAATCCTCGTCAGCAAGTACGTTGATGATGTAGTCGACGATTGGCTGGTCCACGTCTTGTAGCCGCCCGCCTAGGACTTCATGCATGACAGAAGTAGTCACCTCAGCCATCAGTCCGGCAGTGGAGGAGTTTCAGCTGTTAAGCTCCAGAAAAGAAAGTGTATGCTATACTGCTATGCTGTTCTAATCTAAACAGAGGGGTTTTCCAAGACAAAAAGAAAGGTCTGCGGTCTGCACACTGGTATTACTCCTGTTATTGAGAAATGAGAATAGAAATTACCCGAGTAAAACTTAAAACTTCCCTAAGTTAATCCTAACCTAGTTAATTTATGACTTATTCGATAATATTAATTTATTTATTTATTTTTCAAAAAATAAAAAAAAATATTTATTTAAAAAAACTCAAAAAAAATAAATAAAATTTACCGTTGCCTCTGCCGCCTCAGCACCACCACCTCTAGTCACTAGGGGAAAAAATGTCAAGTTCATTACGAATGTCATATTTATGGCACAAAACAATGAAAATATTGACATTCGCAAAGATAAATATGCAATGTTTTTGGCATTTTCATAAAAAAAAGACAGCTTTTAGGGAAAATTGAATTTTTTTCACCGCCCGGAGGTGGTGGTGCAGGGAGGTAGTACAAGCGGTGGGAAAGGCATCCAAATTTTTTTAATTTTTTTATGGAGTTTTAATATTTTTATTAATTTAAAAAAAACAAAAAATTTAAAAATAAAAAATAAAAAAAAAATTATTTTATAAATTTATTAATTATTTTTCTACGATTTTTTGAATTTTTTCGAATTTATTATGAATTAAACATTTAATTAAAAGTTGTTGGGGCTTGGGTAGGGGTATACTTATCCAAACACTAAAGTTACTCCTATTCAAAATATGTTACTCCTATTTTTGCATTTTGCCTATGTTTTGCTCCTATTTGGGGAATTCTCTCTATTGAGAAGGTAACTCTCTTTTCTGTTGATCACTTTATTAGATATTTTTTAAAACAATCAAGTAATAAGTTTTGATTTTGCGCGCTAAATTGCATAATAATAAGAACAAGTAAAATTGAAGTTACTTTTCTGTCCGTATTGACCGGATTTAGTGTAAATGACCACTTTACCTATTTTTTCATATAAGTTTTTCTTTATTTTATTAATAAAATATATTTCAAATATATTTTTTTCAAAAATTAGCAGAATCAACCAATATAGTCACTTCATCCAGAACTTCAAAAATTTCAACACTATCAGCCGATTTCAGTGTTACCAAACGGACTTTTAGTATATTGTCACGAGTCATGATCTACAACATTAATGTACATTGAGATTTTTTTGGAAATATTATTGAATTGTCTTATTACAATTTTTCAAAAAATGAGTTTTTTTAATTTTTATGACTATTTACTAAAGAATTGAATATATTAACGATCAAAGTTGGGTGTGGATAAATATAAAAATGAAAGTGTTATAGCTAAAAAGTAACATACGAAATATATGATACTCCCCACGTTCCTTAAAACTTTGTAAACTTTCCTTTTTTGAATGTCTCATTAACTTTGTCACTTTCCTATTCAAGTAAAGAATTTGTGGTTCCAGTTAATTCTCTCTCCTCTACACAAACCTCAATCACACAGTTTTTACTCTATTAATCCTCGTGCCGGTCAAACCTGGCAAAGTTATAAGGGACGGAGGGAGTAGTATATAAAAATTGATCTCAACACGTTTTTTACTAATTAGCGAGCAAAAACATGTATCCTCACATCCAATATTGTACTTGTGGAGGTAAAAGATTTGTCAATCTCATACTCCCTCTGTCCCGAAAACAAGTTTCGGGTTTTACTTCAGGGATTTTTAAGTAGAATAGGAAATAAAGTTGGTTTTTCTAAAATGCTCTTGGGTAATTAAAAGGCGTAGTAACCAAATGGGTATAATAAAGGGGGTTGTTAGGGAATATTATTCCGGCCTACTACTGTTCAGAGGTCCAAGGCATCACCCTGGTATGGGCCCAGTCAGCGAGACCCGTTTAGGCCCATCCGGCCTGTTGAGAGCCATTTAGGCCCACTCGGCCTGCCTGGCCTATCTCAGCCCGTTAGGGCCTGTCCGGCCCATTTGGCTAGAAAGCCCACATCCCCCTTCTACAAATAGGAAGCTAGGCTTCCATTTATGGGATCTGGTTTTTTGGGCTCTTCTCTCCTGGAGAGAGTTTCCTCTTCCCTGCTTCTTCTTCATCCCTAGATTAGTTAGCTCATAAACTCCATTAAAGGAGGTTCTACATTTGTACTATGTAAATGGTGAGGAGAGTATTAATGAGAAAGATCGGGTTTGGACGTTAGCCTAAAAAGTCATGTGGTTTTCTTCCTTTCAGGGTTACACGTAAAAATTGAGTGTTATAACAAATTATATCTATATTTATTAGTTTATGTTGGACTTAAACCCAACATTGGGGCCGTCTGTGGGAAACTGTTCAAAAAGATTGTGTGTTCTCGATTTTACTGACAAAGAAGGAAAGAAAAAGAAATGGAAAAAGGAGTGACTAGCAGCTGTGTTCAAGACCAATGATTTTCCTGTAACTCTGTAAGAAGCACCAATTCTAGGATGAGGGTAGGCAGTTAACCTCACTATGGAAGGAAAATAGATGGAAGACCCCCTTATGTCGGGTAAGTTGCTTAGGATATGGGCGTGAGACCAGCAGCAGGAGCCAACTATGACGGCAGAGCAACAACCGAGCGGAGGTCTCCTCTAGCAGCCACCGCCCAGAGCCCCATACGCTTCGCAATGCCACTGTGATCTTTACGGATAATGTAACCAGTAACCACGCCTAATGGGCCCGGAGCAACGTAAGCTATCTTTTCGCAGAAAAGTGTGCCAACTAACGCGGCTAGTTGCTGGGGTGATAAGTGAGACCATAAAGTGACGGCTTTGGACTCAGCCTCGTTGCCCGAACGGAAGAGCATCGCATCGGGCAACCGACCCCAACCTCTTGAGCAAAGGGAAGAGACTAACCCCACTCAAACATTCTGGCCAACCCGGACGGTATCACCCGACCGGTGGAGTAATGCTCACCGTATGGGTGTGCTGGATATGAGCGATCCATTATTCCGAACGATAGGAAACATCGGACCCCTGAAACCACCCCTAGATGGGATGATTGAATTAGCGGTTTAGAGCGTTGACCAGCAACCTTGGCATCCAAGCAGGCCCCGTAAGAACAGATCGACAGTGGATTCCCAGTATAACCGTTGGGTTCTCAAGCAGCAACATCATGTACCGAACGGGAGCCACCAGAATCCATCACCTCATGCGCTGGCCAGCTTACTCGGAGCCTCTCATCGTTCCACCCTGGACCGGGTATGCGACCAGGGAGCACAGCCCACCGCCCGGCAAGCATCCCCTGCCTAACGCCGGCAAATCCTGTATGCTAAACCAACCGGCCATTCCGTCTAGTGATCCACCACACCAAATGCACGGGGAGGCTGGCCATATCCATGGACGAGGATCTAAACTGGGCAAGACCGGGAGACGGACGATTTGACTTTTTCAGTTGAACCAACGGTAGCCCGGCGTGGCTCACTTCCGGTATTATCACCGATCGAGACCAGGACGACATATCTCCCTGGCATCATCAGCCTCTCTCGTCCAGTCGTCACTGACGCCTTACCGATCGACATCATCTCGTCCGACATCCCCTTTTTGGATAGCCTATGTCTTGCCGAACGACAATCAAACTGGTAATCCGCACCACTTATGCTACTCATCCTTAGTGTTGACCGGCGGTTGTTTGCCAAGTCTCCCCGAACGGAACATGTTCCACTCCCGTACGGGATATGTTGGGCTTTAAGGTATGATTTACAAGTACTAGGGCCCCCGATTGTGATAAGCATTTGATATGGGTTCCAATTATTGGGCTGCAGCTTGGGAGTGTTAGGACAGCAGTGGTGGGATTTTCACCTTAGGAGGACGGTAACCGATTGTGAAAGAGCCTGCTTTATTGATTTCCGGGTTGGACCACTTTCGGCAATTAAGTGCCCAATGGGCTAGTAACTTGGCTTGACAGCTGAAGATCAGCCTCTCCAGCTAAGTATCACAATCTTCTCGCTTATTGAACTATTGCTTAGCATTATTGCTATTCATGATCGCGTATCACCATTATTTATAAGGGATAAAATTTTCCCGAATTAAATAGTACCGAACGAGGAAGCTCTGCTGATAAGTCATCGTCATTTTAGTTAAACGATTGGTTTTAATGGGCGTTTCGGCCCGCCCCCAATCGGCTTTAACTAGCGATCGGAACATTTTCCAGGGGAAATTATCCCGACGACGCATTTTAATTTCAAGGGCATCTGGTGCCCCGTTCGGCATCAAGTACTCCTGCATTAGAGTATTCATTAATTGTTTAAATAATGTCGGGCGAAGTTCTGATGATTTCCCGTCGGACCACTATATTTATTAAATGCTTGGTCTTAGTGGGCGCATGGATCCCCCCCCGATCGGCTCAAATTAGCTGACTGAAGCGTCTCGCAAAGGCATTGCCCGGTGACGCATTTTTAATTTAAAGACCATTCATGGTCCCGCTCGGCATTGAATGCCCGATCGACTATTTTACCCAGTACGGGGCAAAGTACGTACTTTAATTAGCCAAAGCTTTTCTGAGAGCGCCCGCCAAACCACTAAGTGGTTTTCATAGCACCTGGGCAGTGCGAAAAATGAATCTAGGCCAAGGATTATTATACCTGATGGAGTATATGACCCGGGAACCCCCGGTCCACAGACTCCTGATACTCCAGTAAAGGCCCAACAGGCCCAAATCACAGCACCCAGAGTACCAAGCAGCCCGCACTACGCGCCAGGGGTGCCTTCGGCCCCATGGCCGAAGGCTCTAAACTCTCACAGAACGGGTTTCTCAAGCAAACTAAGAAACTGGGAGAAAACGGCAAAAACAGAAGCCCTCGGCACCAGGAGCCCTCAGCACCAGGGTGCCATCGGTTTGAGGAGCCCTCGGCTGCTGCTCTATAGCCGAAGGCACCTCTCCCGACATGATATCCGCCTCACATGCGTACAGATCGCCGTACCCTGTACAGGCGTCCCATCCAACAGCCGCATTAAATGCGGCCACATGCGGCTGCCAACGCCAACTAGTTGAGGTGACCCCTCGGCCAATGGGCACTTGACATGTGTCCCTGTCCGGCATTTATTGCTACTATAAATAGCACCCCATTTCCCCATTTGTAACCACGACATTGAT